AAAAAAGCTACTATGCTTCTCTAATCTCAGTTTCCTCATTTGTAAAATGGGGTGTTCTGCATGTCTAAGTTGGGGATTGTATAATGCTTCCTTGGCAAAGTTATTTTAAAGAGTAAATGAGATTATGTATTTAAAGGGCTGTGATTATGGTTACATCAAGTTTACATGCTAGATCCTTAATTTAGCTCTTTTGCAATTAAAATTTCTATACAAACTAGTAAAAGAGGAATTCTAAGAGCAGAGTATTGTCCTGAGAGAAGAGGCCTGAATGAAATGCCAAAAAATTCCTGGACCCCCACACAACTATAGTTGTATTTTGAGGGCAAAGCCATTATGAAGCTCTTTAAATGAGTTAACACTGTATTAATTTGCACATCAACAAACATTTGGCCAAGAGTAGTATATACATTTGAAGGGCATGTTATATATTTGGATCTTTTACCAGGCCCTTTTACGTGTACTTGGATTTCCTTGTAACCGCACTGCAGTCCCCAAGGAGTCTAGAGGCCATGGTTTAGAAACCACCAGTCAAGTGCAACTGCCTCAAACTTAACTCTGCAAAAGAATCATTTGAGGGCTTGTTTAAAAATCTTAGTGGCCCACCCCCAGAGACTCTGATTAAATAGATTTGGAGTAGAGGCCAGGAGTGTGATAAATTCTCCGTGTGTTTACCGTGAATCCAGAGGAGTGTATAGAGCTCTGAGAATTAGCATTCCAGACCTGCTCCTCATTTCTCTCTTCTAAGGATCTCATTCCAATCACCTTCTCTTTGTTCCTCACAATTCTAGGCTTCTTTAATTGGAGTGTTGTGCTGACATCGCAAAACAATGTGCAGGAAACTCTCTAAAAGTCAAACATAGTGACTGGCTTTCTTTTAAAGAGCAACAACATATCTTTGCTTTTCTAAAGACTTAATCTTGACATTGGAAATACCCTAACATCCATTTTAACTAATTTAGAGGCAAACTGTACTCACTAATGAAGGATCCAGAGATTATATGTAAGTGGTCTGGCTTGAAAATTGGCTCCAAGATGTAAACATCACAACAGTACTTTAAGCCATTCCTGAAGAAAGAAAAAAATTTATTAGGCCAATAGCCAATATGGAAGCCAAGATAAAAATTGTTGATAAAATTAGAAAACATAAGAAGGAACCACAGAGCCAGAAGAAAGCGCTCATCTTTACCAGCAGCTCCCCCCACCCAGAATATTTTCCCTAGAGCAGGGGTGGGCAACCCCTGGCACGCGTGCCAAACATGGCACGCCAGTAACTTTTGCTGGCACGTGAAACCCTCTCTTATAATCTTCCATTTACAATTTTTTTCTTAATATCGACTTTTTTATATTTCAGATAAATTCAGTGTAGGTGCATCTTAGATAAATAAATAATTTTACGTAACAAGTTATCTTAAAGACCATACACATGGCTGACTTTGAAATGCAGTTGGTTGAATTTCAAAGTAGCTCAATTTGGAAGCAGAAATTTATTGACCTTAGAGTCGACTTGGAAAACATTGAAAAAAAGCGATTAGAGACAGGAGTACCCGAGAGAAGTGTGGAAAATGAACTATTGAGGACTTGGAATGCCATTCCAGAAAATTTTTTCTGTTTAAAAAACTTTGCATGGAGAGCATTACTCTCCATGTTGTCATCCACATATGCTTATGAATCTTTGTGTAGGTGCATCTTAGATAAATAAATAATTTTACATAATATGTATACATGAAAAAATAAATGTATTTTTCATCATCATATACTGTGTTTTTGTCGCTTGAATGAATTTTATTATTTCTTCAAGGTTCTTCACATACGTACACCTTAAGAGGTATCAAGTAGGCATAGCATGTTCTCAAAAGATTAGGGTTGGCACGCAGAAGAATTTTGAGTCAGAGATTTTGCTGGTTTTGGCACGCACTCACAAAAAGGTTGCCCACCCCTGCCCTAGACCCTCTCAGGTTCCCACATGTGGGAAGGAACTGGGGGTAGGGTGCTAGGATAGGTCCCTTTTTCCTATCCTTTGAGTGCCTCTTCACCTTCAATGCCCTTGAGTGCCTCTTCACCATCTTAAGAATGAAAGTGCTTCATTTACAAGGTCGAAAGACCATGGAACATTTTCCAAAAATTAAATCACCAGTTGAAACAAGTAGAGTGTTGCTTTAATATTCTCTTCTGCTATTAAGTTTCTCTCTGTGTCTCTCTGTTTGTGTGTGTGTCTCCCTCTGTCTACCTCCCTTCCTTCCTTCCTCCCTCTACCTCTTTCATTCTCCCCTCTTCCTCTCCCTCCCTTCTTTTCTCCCTCACCCTCCCTCTCTCCTTCCCCTCCCCTCTCCACTTCACCACACACAGAAACCCCTTTTCAAAGGGGCTTTTTTCCAACTCAGTGAAGTAAAGTCTTTGCCCCTTTGTGGGGAAGGCTCATTAACATTCCCACAGCAGCATCTCTTCAAGGATTTTACTTTTGTAACTCTGTGGAGAGGTCAAAAGGCCACAGTGGAAAGAGGTAAAAGGAAAAAAATGGTAAATGGGGGAGGGCAGAAGAAAGGAGAGGAAGGGAGAGGGCCCTTCCTTTCACAATAAGGCCAGCAAAGAGGGTGGAAAAAAAATAAGAAAAGACAAGTCATACCAGACCCAGGAAAGAGACCCATATTGAACTATCAAATCTACCCTTAGAGATTTCATAGACTCCTGACAAAAACAGAAAGCGATATTTCTTCTCTCCTTTCTATTTCTCAAAAGGGAAGTAAATGATGGAAAAAGTGGGATGAGAGAGTGACAGTTAATTCCACTGAGAAATTAGAAGCTTGCCTGGCCTCAGTGTTCCCATTTTTCCTACAATTACAGCCTCATGATAACTGCACCTGCTTACCATAGGGGAGTTAGCTGGATGAAAACGACAATGTCGACAAGAGTTCCAAGGGTGGAATGTGAGGGAGGCACCCAGGGTCCTGACCCCAAAGGACTGAGAAAATAATGGAGATTCAGTGAACTCCAAAGCAAAGATCAGAGTGCTTCCCAAATCGCTTCATATGTGGGTACCTGCTCCATTTATCACCAGCAATCCTCCTACCATCTGTTGTCTCTCTGTCTCCCTTTTTTGTATTGCCAGACTAGCCTGGACTTGTGTAAGGAAAGAAATGAAAGAAACCTCAAGTTTGCACCCAACACTGTGAGTGAGCTATCCTGTGCTTTTCTCTGAAGATGTAGCCATCAGAGATTTACATCATTAAACTTCAAAGAGAAAGTAATTCCCACTTTGGTAAGTGATCGTGGTGTTTCAGATGCTCCTCATCTCAGCCAGAAGAGCAAAGGGTAAATAAGGTCAAAAGAAAAAGATCTAGACATTGTAGCTAGAACGTAGGGCATATCTAGACATGCTGTGCCCAATAGCACAGTATTACTCACATTCAGGTAGGAATAGCATGGCCACAAGTTAAAGAATAACAACAACAACAAATCACCTTTAAGTGTACCAGCTGAGCAGAAGAGACCTGGTTAGTGACCAAGTGATGTGTTTTAGAGATGGCGGATGTTCTTAAAGGTCAAACTTCATATCCAAAAGGACATTCTTCCCATAGAATCCTTGACAATTGTCTTCAGCCTCTGTGAGAACGTATTATTATTTTTTTTAAATATGGAACGCTTCATGAATTTTCACATCATCCTTGCACAGGGGCCATGCTAATCTTCTCTGTATTGTTCCAGTTTTAGTATATGTGCTGCTGAAGTGAGCACTGTGAGAACTGATTACAGGGAGCTCACAAATTCACTGGATAATCTGTGACACTGTTAGAAAGTTCCTTCTATATTGAGCTCAAAGTACCCCCTCACTGCTTCCATCCATCTACATCATCTTCTCAGAGGGAGCCTACCCTCAAACCTAGAAGCTGGACAAGGAATGGGAGAGACAGAAAAGCTACTGACCCTGGTTGTTATTTTAAATGAGATTCCTTAAAATCGATCACTTTTTAAAAAATATATTCCCTTGATTTTTTTTTTTTAGAGAGAGTGGAAGGGAGAGGGATAGAGAGATGAGAGAGGAACATCATCAATTGACTGCCTCCTGCACACCCCTCCCCGCCACAGGGGATCAAGCCCGGAACCCAGGCATGTGCCCTGATTGCCCTGACCGGGAATCGAACCAGTGGCCTCTTGGTTCCTGGCTCGATGCTTAACTGCTGAACTCCACAGCTGGGCATCAAGCCCTTTTCTTTTCATGCCAAGAGTCTGTTGACATAGCGTACCTTTAACAATATTATGGGGGCGGGGGGGTGAATGCTAGCCTGACTGTCAGGTGCACCTGGCTTCCAGGCCCATCTCTGCTACATCATAGCTGTGCAATCTTGAATAGATTACTTAACCTCACTGAGCCTTTTGGTTCATCTATAAATAGGATCATCATAAATGGGAGTGGTAAAACATGCCATGCTAATGTCTGAGTTGTAATATTTTTAAAAAATGGCATGTACATGAGAATATTCTATAAATTATAAAGAGCTCTACATACATGAAGTTGTTATACTGACTGTTCATCTTTACTCTCTTTTTTTGCCAAGTTTTTGTACACTCATTTTCAACTAGAGATAGCTGACTTCTTGGCCTCATTATAAGAATATACCAGAAAGTTCTTATTTCAAACTATAGCCCAGAGGCAGTCACATCATCAAACAAGGTGGTATAGAATCATGAAAGGATCAAAAGCACTGTGAATATCTTAGAAGAAGAGTTAGAAAAACAAGTGGTGGGTATTTATGAACAGACAGCACGGGGAGCGGCCCAGGGCCCCAGCAGGGAGGAGAGGGTTAAATCCTTCCCTCTGCAGCACAAAAGAAAAGAGTGTGCGGAAAGATTAGGATTTTTGCTTTTACAATGGGAGCTGCAGAAGCGTAGGGAAGAAGCTGAAGGGGAAAAAAAGGGGGCGTCTCCCCTTTAAAGACTTGTAGAGATTGAGAGAGAAAGAGAGAGAGAGAGTCAGGGACAGTGAATCAGAGAGAGAGAGAGAGAGAGAGAGAGAGAGTTTGTCTATCTCTGGGAAGAGAGAACATCTCTGCTTCACAGTGATTTGACTGAGGGAGAGGCATCAGTTGGCTTCAGACCCAAGGGAGAGACCAGACCAGGTCACCCTGGTTAAGACTAAGTGAGCGTCACCCCTCCTTCTCCCACCTCTCTCTACCCGGGAATGTCTAGGCGAAAGCAGCGGAAGCCCCAACAGTTAATCTCGGACTGCGAAGGTCCCAGCGCGTCTGACAACGGTGGGTGCCTGGGGAGGGAGGAGGGGGGAGCTCTGAGTGCAAGCCTGTGTGGGTCAGGCCAGGGCAAGGGGAGGGCCCCGGGCCATGGGCTAAACCAGGGGGAGGACATAGTCACCGAGGGAGAGGACTGGAGGGGGCAGGAGGGGGGGACTGAAGGAGTTGAGATACAGGCAGGGACTAAAGAGATGACCTGTGGTGGGGAGAAGCCCCATTTGGCTTTTCTCAGGAATGATTCTGTTTGTGTTTTCCTTGTTGTTTTTCTCTGGATGAAATGGAGTTTTCAAACTGGCTCTGTCTCCCCACCCAAGAGTTTTCTCCCCAGGTCCCCCTTTGCTCACTGGTCTTTGTGCCGTTGCTAAGTAACATCCTCAGACCTGAAGACTGTCTCTTAGGGGTGGGATTTTCTCCCCCCTTTTCTTTCTGGAGAGTTGGGTTGCAAGAGAATGAATTGGATAAATGCGGAGATTCCCCTGAGGGAGAAGAGAAAAAAGTTTCTCATTGTTGAGCTGAGCAGAGAGCGGATCAGCGCTCCCAGAGGGAGATAGCTAATGTCGGTCAGATGAAGCCTGGTTTGGGATGGGTATCCGTGTCACCTGGGATAGAGGCTGGAGGGGAGGTCTGGATGAGGTGCTTAGGTTTGGGCTTCAAGGTAGGCCAAGCTAAGAAAAAAGAGTATGCGTTAATATACCTGTTAATACATGCATAACACTTTGTAAGGATATTATCATCTGTTTTTTAAGTAATAGAGTTTCTTTATAGGGGTTGGGGTAGATTTCATATATTCTTATAGCATTCCAAGAAGAGGCAGACAATAGAGCAATAGGGTACTGAGAAGTGATATTGTCCAAAGTCTCAGAAACAGAGGCATAATCCGGATGAAAACCCAGGTTTCCTGAGGCTCGGGGCTGGTGGTGCTCACACCACTAAATCAGGGTTTCCAAACTTGCTCGATGGGTAGGTCTAAGCTAGAGTCCAGGCATCTAGATCTTTGCAAATGTCCAGGTAATTCTTAGGATCAAGCAAGGGTTGGACATACTGGTCAGTGGTATGGCTATATGTGTTCTCACTGTGACAGTCATGACTCAGGGATAAACTATTTGTTTAGCAAATAGTTAATTCACCCAACAATGTCGTGCAGGCTTAGGCACAAGGATTCTGAAGCCAGACTCTTAGGATTCAAATCCTGGCTCCACCACTTGGTTAGCTGAGCAATCTTCGTTGTTTACTTTACCTCCCTATACCTGTTTCCTCATCAGTAAAATAGGGATGAATACACTAGCTACCTCATTAGGTTATTGGGAGACTCGAAATGAGTTAATATATGTATGTACAGCACTTGGAAAAATTACTAGCATAAATAAGTACTTAATGCACGCAAGTATTGTTATTATCATTATACGTTAGGACAGTGGCAATTCCCGAAGTGCTGAAATATGACCAAAACTCAGGAATCTCTTGGCAGATTTCAACATTTCTTTATGAGAGGGGTGCCATGGAAAGCTCTAGGAGAATGTGTTTGAAGTGACCAAAACTAACCCATGCATTTGGTTTTCCACCTGTTGTAAAAATATGACTGGAGGTCAGGCACATCAGTGCTCCAGGTGTGATGGCCTGACCTTAACAGACATCCTGTGTTGCGGGTAGAACACCTCCTCCTCAGAGTCACTGCTTTGCTGGGATCCCACTGTGCCCATATTTAGAGGCTCATGGTGGTGACATCTGTTCCCTCCTGGGACACATTAGCCCTTCTTAATGCCTCTGCAGGCCGGATGTTTCCTCCTCCTGCGCTACAGGAAACTTCCCTCAGACCCTCAGAGTTGCCTCACAGTCCCGCTCCCCTGCTGGCTTGACGTTGGAACAGTGCTTAATCTCCCCCAGCCCAGGAGGCTTCCTTTCTCTTTTCCCAAGTCTGCTCACCCATTCTCATTCCACAGCTGAGCAAAAATCTGTGAGGGACCCCGAGGAACCTTCAGCAACTGCCCTGAGTGGCTTCTCAAGCTCCTTGAGCTGTAGCTCCCACTTGGGACTGTGAATCCTGGCGGGGGGGGGGGGGGGGGGGGACATAAAGATGCTGCTCCAAAGCCATCCCCATGGAAACAGTATAGACTTCAACCCAGGTCAGCAACAAATTTCAGTTGAAATATTGCCTTGAGCCATGAAAAATGAGAAACATAAATGTCAAGAGCGGCAAAGTAGTAGTAACCGTAGTTACCTCCTAAGATCTGCCTTAAGAAAAGCATAAGGGGCCAAAACCGGTTTGGCTCAGTGGATAGAGCGTCGGCTTGCGGACTGAGAGGTCCCAGGTTCAATTCCGGTCAAGGGCATGTACCTGGGTTGCGGGGACTCTCTATTCTCTCCCGTCCTCTCTGTAAAAAGTCAATAAAAATATATTTTTTTAAAAAAAAAAGAAGTAATGAAAAAAAAAAAAAGAAAAGCATAAGGGTTTTCTGATCAGCATTCTCCTGAAAGCGAAAGATCCTGGGTTACTTACATGACCTGGAGGGTTACTGGGTCTCATCTGCTAAGATGTGGGAGCTATGTTTGATGAACTCTAAAATTCCTTCCTGCTCTTATGAGTATGTAGATTTCTCATTTCCTCCTTTTCCACTGATAGGGTTTCTGTTTGCTTATGTGATCTTCAGGCTCCTGGCTTTTCCTTTTACCTTTGAGACATTTTCTTGTTCTGAATGCCCCAACAATTAGGTAGGGAAGTTTCTTTTTCTTTCTTTTTTTAAAATATATTTTTATTGATTTCAGAGAGGAAGGGAAAGGGGAGAGAGACGGAAACATCAATGGTAAGAGAGAATCATTGATTGGCTGCCTCCTGTACCCCCCTACCGGGGATCAAGCCCACAACCTGGGCCCTTAATCGGAATCGAACCTGGAACCCTTCAGTCCGCATGCCAACGCTCTATTCACTGAGCCAAACTGGCTAGAGCAGGTAGGGAAGTTTCTTATTTGGGGCCTCTTATGTGTGTCCCTTGCTGTACCTGTGAAACTATGGTTGTTATCATGAGCATCAGCAGACATTTATTTAGTAGGCTAGGGTGCCTCGGAGGTTTTCGGGAGTCTTTGCCTTCTTTCAAGCAATGTTGACTCTATGTGACAAGCAAATGCTGAGCCTTTGGTGCACATTTTAAAAGCCGCATCTCTGCAGTGACCTAAGACGTCACCAAGAAACAGTCTGTAAAACCTGTTATCCAGCCATTTTTTTTGTTCAGCTTCTTTGACCAGAACACCAAAACCTAACAGAATAGTTATTGCACATAAGTGATGAGAAGGAAACAGTCTATTTACTTTAAAACTCTGGAGAGAGAGAAAAAATATCTCCCCTACAGAGTCTAGAAATCTGGATGAGAGTACATAAGGGACGTGAGTAGGGAAAATGTAAACTAGTACATCTGGGAAATAAAGGAAACAACCAGAAACCCAGATATTTAGTGAGAAGGAGAAACCAGGACAACAGCCAAACAGATCTAGAGGGAGAAATGGAAGCTGGCTGACATCAAGAGCAGCAAAAGGGGAAGAAAGCAAAATTAGAGTTTTAAGGGCTCTGTTCTCTTTATATCTGGAAGCAGAAAGCATTGTCCCTCAGGCTAAGCACTAAGCCTTTCAGCCCTAGGTACCCTTGGGTCAAAAAGAGAGCATTTCTGAGTGGATAGAAAGGCACGATGTGGCAGAGAACGGAGAAGGAAGCAGAAAGCCTGGTTTTCAGTCCAGCCTGGACTTTGAAGCTATGTGACCTGGGGCAATCCCTGCTCCCAGGGCTTCACCTTTTGGCCTGTAATTAATGACACTCATCAATAATATTTGTGGAACGTTTACTATTTGTCAGGCACTATGCTAAATCCTGAATGTATTTTTTGTTTATTCCTCCCAACTACACTATTATTACCTCCATTAAAAAATTTTTGTGTGTGGTAAAATACTATACTCATTAAACACTAATGCCCCCTTTCCCTCTTTTCCCCTCCCCCTGCGCACCCTCCCCTACCCCCACCCCTCCCATCCCTGGCAACCACTATTCTACTCTCAGTCTCTATGAATTTACCAATTCCAGGTACCTCGTATAACGGAAGCATATAATATTTCTCCTTTTGTGTCTGGTCTAATTCATTTAACATGTTTTCAAGGCTCAACCATTTTGTAGCATGTGTCAGAATTTCATTCCTTTTTATGGCTGTACCTCCACCTTAAAGAAGAGAATCCCAAGCCTGAGATAGATTAAGAATATTTCCCAAGGTCACAAACATTACAAAGTGCTGGAATTGAGACTTTAACTCAGGTATGTTAGATTCTGAGCTGGGACTCTCAATGACTGAGTTCAAAGAAGGGGTCAGACCTCTCAAGTCCCTTTCAGCTCCAACGTGCCATGAATTCCGAGTCTTTTGATGTCAGAAAAATATCCATTTAAAATACTTTTTTATGTTTGACCTAAGATATTCCTATTCTGGAAACAAACATACTTTTCTCACTTCGCACCAGATATACAAAGCATTGTGCCTGCATAATTACCCACCGTGTTGCACAGGACCTGGGTGCATTAGTAGGTGTGGGTGACAAAGGAGTATCTGTGTGTATTTAGGAGAGAAGAGTGAGAAAGAGAAGATGGGACATTATGCCTTAGAAATAGTCTATAACAGCAGTTACAGAATCACTTCATAATTATGGACCCTGCCAATTAGTGTTGGTCCAATGTTTATAGTAAGTAGGCAGGTGTTTTGTTTCCTTAATGGCTGGAAAATTCTCAAACTCTTTGTAGAACAAAGCCTTTCATCTTACAGTTAGAAATGTGGTTCAAGAGGCACATTGGGAAAGGCAATACAGTGGCTAAATTCAGTCAGGCTTAAATCATCAAGTTTTCTTCACGGAAGTAGAATGCATGAGAACTAACGTCTGGCTGTGGGCAGAATAGAGAGGGTGCCTGTCAGGAAGATTTAGCAGTGAGCAGCTCATTTTGCCTATGTCCACATTTTGGCCAGATTGGGCACAGATAAGATTTGTGAGGAGCAAAGTAGAAGGGTTGATGGGAGGGCAGTACTCTGATAGGTACTGTGGTTCTCATCCTTGGTGTGGACGGTAAAATCACCTGAGGAACTTTGCAAACATACTGATGCCTGGATTCCACCCTCAAGGATTCTGAATTACTTGGTCTGCGGTGTGGCCTGAACATCGGGATTTTTAAGAGCTCTCCCAGTAATTCTAAGAGGCAGCAAAGTTTGAGAACCATGTGCAACACACCACCTTGCTGCACATTACCCACCTGTTTTCCTCTTTGTTCTCCCCTGCCATTCTCTCCCTAGCCTAAAGCAGCCGTTGGATGGCCCACCTGGTTTAGAGAGTCACCTGGTTTTCCCTTTTCCTCATCATTTAAGCTCTTTATAAATTTAAACAGCCATGTCCAGGTCTTAGGCCTTCATCCATCCCAGATTTTGCATGTGACCCAGAATAGCTTACCTGACCTTATCTGCTATCTACTACACCATTACCAGCTTAGTTTATTCCAGCCAGTGTTTATGACTTCATTTGTGTCTGCCTAAAAAATCATGCCCCCCTTTTCAAGACAGGCAGTGAGTGCAAAGTGCTGAGAGGTAGAGGGTTCCTCTTACAGGTGGCTGTTGATCTGTCACCTTTCACCAGGGACTAAATTTACCTTAAAGAAGTGTGCAGGTCAAATTACGCTTCAGAAAGCAAGTTTCATTAAACCCAAGAAAGGGGACAGTGTTTCCCAGGAGAAGATGAAAAGAAAAGGATTTCTTTTCTTGTAGGAAGACTTGACAAAACAGCAACTTGATATCAAATGTTCAATGCTAATTAACAAATGCTCAGTAGAAAGCTTCCATCTGATTCCCTGCCCTTCCTGAGGCTAGAGAGCAAATGGCAGGTAGGTGCCACACAGGGCCCTTTCTTTAGCATTAGGGAAGCCACACAATGTTGGTGTGCTTCAGAAAGCACTGGACAGGAGTCAAAATTCTGAATGCTTCCTTCACTGATTTACTGTGTGGACTTGGAAAAGTCACTTAATCCCTCCAAGCTTAAATGTCCTGATGTGTAAAAATAACATAGCACTAACCTGTGACTTGCCAAATTGGAACAGACCCTCCCATTTCCTCATTGTAAGGGTCAGCCCTGGGAGCACTTAGCTCATCTGTTACAGAGCCATCGTTTACTATGTTATGATTCTTATGAATTATCTGAAGTTTCAAGATATAACTCAGTAAAATGTTTTCAGTGAAAAAAGATAGCAAAATTTCACCCCGTCGGTGTGGCCCAGTGGTTGGGTTGTCTACTGATGAATCAGGAGGTCATGGTTCCATTCCCTGTTGTGGCACATGCCCAGGTTGTGGGCTCCATTCCCAGTAGGGGGAGTGCAGGAGGTAGCCAATCAATGATGCTCTCTTCATTGACGTTTCTATCTCTCTCTCCTCTCTGAAGTCAATAAAAATATATTAAAAAAATAAAAGATAGCAAAATTTTGTTCAAAGGTTAAATGATTTTACTATTAGGTTGTTTCAGCTCCTTCCAAAAAAGATTCCCTACCCTTGACATATGCCAATGATATTAGCCAACATTTTATTTCAGAAATTACTAAGATTAATAAGAAAAATGACAAATTTCAGTGTATTTCCGTTTATTTTGTTTTGCCACTGACAATGTAAATTCTCTAATCCATAATATCTGGCACTCCCCCGAAAATTTAAAGTTCCATATGTACATACTAAGAGCTTCTCAAGTTTTTGTCCCCACAATACTTCTCTGAGGAAGACAGCACAGCTACAATATTCCCACTTTACAAAAAGGGAAATAGTGGCATAGTGTGGTATGACTGATCACCGTGCCTTAACTTACCTGTCAGGCAAGAATAGAACTGGGACTAGAACAACATGGGTTTACTGTTGCTCAGGCAAACCACAAAACTAAGAACTTGTGGTCACCTCCTGTTAGTGAGATAAATTCTTTTAGGAAGTGGGAAATCCATCTCAAGGTAGGAAGGGAACGAAGAGTATCCGATCTGGGAGGCATCTTATCCCTGCATACCTCTCTCAGAATAGGAGGCTAGGAGGCCTGTTGCCCCGAGCAATTTCTAGGCATTCAAACCAGGTTGAAGCTGAAAGGGGCTTTAAATCCAGAGGCTGCCAGGCAGCCCCAGCTGCATTTTTCCCATTGTTTCAGGACGAGCTCCCCTCCCCCAAAGTTAGAGCTAGGTGGGCCAGCATCCCCCCCAAGCCTTCCCGTCCTTAATAGTGACAGTGTGTTGCAAGAGGACAATGAAGGAAGAGCTGAGAAGATGGCTCGTTTAGGAGATGGCTCCTTAAATAAGCATGAACTTTGTAATTTACGTGTGGAGCAGCTGATCTGTGGAGTAACTTGCACTCAGCTATTATTCCGGAGGAGGCGGGGCAGGGTGGTTGGAAAAGAGGAGTCCTGAAATGCCTTTCCTGGAAATTCTACCTTGCAGCCTCCCACCCTGAGAAACTTCTTTTGTGGAGGGAGGGGAGGGGAGGGTGGTAATTCAGGTGAGGAAGACAGGATCACCCTTGGGGAATTTTGGGGTGTGTGTTGATGGATGAATGTTTTGGGTTCTCCCTGCGCTCTGGCTTCTGGGGCTCCTCTGAGGCGATCAGACCACCCTCTCTGGAGTCTACGATTTCCAGGCTCAGCGGATCTTTTATGCAAAGAAAAACAGGAGAAGCCTCTCGCTTTGCTCTGTTGAACAGGGTTGTGTTTCCCACTGTGCCCCCTTGAGCTTGCTGGGGGGAGGGGACAGGCCTGGGCAAAGGCATCTGGAGATGGGGTGAGCTGGCAGAGGGCAAGAAAAGGTGAACCCCCACCGTGACCCACAGCACCTGTCACTGAGCCTCCGGAAACCCTCCTAAGCTCCAGGTTCCCGCCCCCGCACACCCACCTCCGCCCCAGCTCGCTCCTCTTCCCGCTCCCGCCGCCCTCCCCAGCAGTTCCCCCTCACTAACTCTCCTCGCCAGCAGCCCCACCCCCATCTCCCCTCTCCCAGCTTTCTGGCTTCTGCTCCTCCCACCTCCGCACCGGCACCG